GTTCATCTTCCCCCACTCCCACAGGAATAGGAGAGACTGCTGGGAAAAAGAGGGCGTCTTTCCTTCCCGTTAACCGTGTTTAGGTAGAAAAGGCTTCCTGAAGGAGGTAAGAGAATTAAGAGAAAGTGGAAAAGAGAAACCTGGTCTTCAGGCTCCACCGTGCTGGCCACTGGTGACCAGACGTCCTGGAGCTCAAGGCAGCCCCTTGGCGGCTCCCTGGCCGTTTCCTTCCAAAGGCTGGGGGCTGATCTGCGTCTTCAGAGGGCAGAGTTGCCCCCTGGGGTCCTGGCTTGTCCTCCATTCTCCTGGGTCCCTGCTGCAGGTCTCTCCTGCTCTGCCCGCTGCAGTCTGCAGACTCCTCAGTTCTTCTAACCCGCTCAGCCGCTGGACGGCCACACCGTGAAGTCCTGAGTCTCAAACCGGGTAGATGCGGGAAGGGAGAGGGGCGCGGCCTCCCGTGGTTCTGCGAGCCTGGCCCGGCCGCGGCTCTCGTGAGCTCCTGGCTGCACTGACGTTCCCCCGCTTTGTTTTTCCTTTTCCTTCTCCTGCCTCCACCCTCTTTTTCCCACTCTTGTCCTGCTGAGGTAGCCAGCGTCAGCAGCTTAGTGGGTGCTCACACAGAAATACCGTGCACGTGCGTAGAATTTGTATTTGGGGGAGAACGGTCATTGTTTATGTTATAACATTGTGACCAGGCTGAGAGAGGGCCTAACTGACTCTTTGTAACAGGCGCGCGATTCCGTGGTGCGGATGAAGGTCTCACCACCGATTCAGCCGGTCCCTGAGTGACGGGGACTCCGGTGGTCTCCACTTGTCCCTCTCATACTCTGTGAATAGGCACTCGCATTTCTGCAAGTGCGAAATCCCACAGGTGGGATTGCTGGACCAGAAGACGTGTGTTCTTTTCGATTCCCCCAAATGGCTGTAAAAATTCACGTCCACACAGGTGGCAGGTGAGGGCACCCTCTCCCGACGTCCTCACCGGCACTCGTGGTTAGTGTCTTTTTCACGTTTACCAGCTGATGGATGAGCCGTGCATCTCAGCGTTTGTTTAATTTGCATTTTCTTGCCTGCTAGTGAGACGGAGCATCTTCCCCTGCATTTATTGGCTCTTTGGGTTTTCTCTTCTGTCAACTGCTGTTCATGTCTGTGGCCTGTTCTTCCTGCCGGGCCTGTCTTTGCATTACGAATTCGCTGGAGCTCCAGGGGGGCATCAACTTGCCTTCTGGCACCTGCGTTGCAAATGCATTTTCTCAGCCTCTCCTTTGTCTTTTGACTTACGAGGGTGTCTTTTTCTGTACAAGATGTTTTCAGTTTATGTTTATCTTTCCAATGGCTTTTCGGTTTCCTGTTTTGTTTTAAAAATCTCCCCAACACATAAGCTATATTCATAAGTTTCCTTCTGAATTTTTCCTTGTTTTATTTTACTTAAACATATAATTGCTCTGGCATTAATTTTTGTTAAATTAAAATAGATCCCGGTGTTATTTTCTTTCATGGGGATAGCCAAACTCAGCATTTCTGGTCTCAGAGCCCGTGGGCCCTAGGAGGTGGCTGAGGGGTCCAGAGAGTTCTATAGACTCCCCGCCCACAGCCAGGGGGCTGTTCTGCTTTCGTTGTTTTACAAAATAGGCTTCCAGGGAAGATTTGGTTTGGACAAAGTGTCCCGAAGCTAAAGGAATTGTCAAAATTCCTTTCAGATGATCTCGGGGCCCTTCCAGGTTTGACAGTCTCTGCCCGGGCTACGCGCAGGACGGCAACTGCTTATTGAGGGAGAGGAGGCGGTGGGTTGGCAGAACTTCATCCAAAAGTAGTTTCAGTATTAACTCCCAGGCTGGCTCGAAGTGGATATTAGAATCACAGCATTTTAGAGGCGGAAGGGACCGTGAAAATCCAGTAGTCTCGTGTCTCTCCATCCTGGCAGCCTTGAGAATCACCAGGGAGTTCTTTTAAAAGTCCTGGTGCCCTGGACTCACGCCAGACCACGCGTGTCAGAGGGGTGGGGGATGAAAGCCCAGGACGCAGTCTTTTTTTTTTCTGATTTTTTTTATTATTCCAGGGTATTGTGAGGGTACAAACATTATGGTTACACTTCATGTCTTTGCCTCACCCAAGTGCAGGTTAAAGGCATGCCCTTCCCCCCCCTACAGTGCTCCCCGTGTCCTTTAGTTGTGGGTTTACCCCCCCATCCCCCTAATCCCTAGAGAGTATTTGTGTCATGTG